CCCAAAACATGCATCTTAAGACATAGCTGCAAATATTTTTTAATTTAATTAAATCATTTTTTATATCCTATAATAAACTAAGATGTATTCGATAACAATGCTCTAAATTTTTTACAACCGAAAAAATATAAGTTTATTTACAACTCGTTATTCAAAAATGTTGTGATATATTACAAATCAATTTTGACAAAAAAATATTTACATTTTAATTTCGAATGCCTATTTATTTGAAGAAGTATTGTAATATTTGGTCTTTACTTAATTTATTCAATCTATAAAAAAAAATTTGGAAAGCGTAGATATTACGAACAAAACTACGCATTAATCCTAGGTTCCTCAAAAAATATTAAGAAAATCTAGAATTATTATTTTTCAATTCTAATCATGTATCAAATGCCTTATTAAGATGGGTAAAATTCAAAATTAAAAAAATAAGATTCCTATGCATTTGATTTATCATTTGATTAAAAATTTTAGAAATAGAATTTCTAATAAAAAAAAAAATGAATTGCACTTACCATTTTCAAGAACAAATTGCTTGTATATGTGAATTTCCTCAAAAATTTTAAAGAAAATTGTGTGTTGAATGTCTTCGATCATAATGACGCTAAATTTATAGTTTCAGTTAAAATGTTTGAAGAAATGGTTACCAAAAAGCACCAGAAGTTAAATAGAATGGGGAATTAGAACTATCATGATACAGAACTGCTTATAAATCCCTTCTTTCACAAGCAGAAAATAGTATTAAGGCATTTTAGGAGGTCTTATTACAATATATTCAAGGTCTTAATGATTTAAGAATAAAGAGCATAATGTAATTCAGCAATCAATGAAAATTAAAAGTTAGAAGATTTATCATAAAGCGAATTAGAGAAGTTATTATTAATATTAGAAGGGAAAATATTAATAGATTAAAATTCTTTTAAGAATTCTTATTTGGCGAAATTAGAAAAAGTTTTGAAATAATTAGAGTAAAGATAATTTCTTAAAAGAAAATTTTTCATATATAATAGGGAACTATATCAATATTGAAGTAATATAAATAACGATTTCTATTAGAATTTAAATAGATTAATATTTAAAGAAAGATATTATCTAAGAAATTGATAGAACATATTGGGATTACAGTCTTAATCCGTCTTTATTAAGAACAAAAGCTGACAATAATCAAATCAAATATTTGCTGGATGGATAAATAATTAGAATATATCTTGTTATATTAAAGCTTTAGAGATTCAACCAGCACAATTCAAAAATAAATTGAATTTTGACTAATGTAAAATAAATAAATTATTTGAAATGGTGTGGAAAGTATGGGTTATATAATAAAAAAATAGGGAAATGGACAGCTACATAGCTACATGGAATACCTTGAGGACGAAACAAAATAAGATAAATGGATAGAATTAATAAAAAATTACTGGAGATATGTAAATGATAAGAAAAACTGACTTTGGAATTATATTTAAGATAATAAGGAAATGTATTAAATAAATATTAATATAGAAGAGGTGGAGGAGATTATAATAAAGAAGGTGGTAAAAATGGAAATTGGATTGAGCTGAGTAAGGGATTTTGTCAAAATGGATTGATTACTTGAGTGGTGAATATAATATTATGATGGAGAATGTGTTAATGGTTAGAAAGTAGGCAAATGGGAAATTCATTATCAGGAAGAATTTGGAGATATGATATAGATGTATCATAATTCTAATATCCTATGGCGGTTGATTATATGATAATATAGGAGATGGCATAAAAATGGGGAAGTGGATTGAGCTAGATGAAAAGTATTATTCTGAAAATAAGTAACATATTTTTGTTAATATAATGATGGATATGTGATATTCTTATTACTTCAAAAGTTTCAGCCAATTAATATTTGTAACATGTACAAAGGTCTGCCTCAGTATGTTCTAATTAGTAGAGGTAAATCTAAAAGGTATTTACATTAAAGATACTGCTCCTTCCAAGGTATTATATATTGCGGTGAAAAATCTATTCAGAATGAATTAAATTTAGATATTTGAAATAAAGAAATTCAGTTGTAGAGTAATATTAAATTCTACAAAAACTTTTGAATTATTTAGAAGAGTTCTTATGAATCATTTAATTTTAAGATCTCTTCTTTTGGTTAAAAATTTAAACAATTTAATGAATTTAATTAAATTTAAAATGAAAAAATCCAAACTTATACTATGCTTTGTCTCTACTTAAGGCCTGTAGGAAATATAAGGATGGATCTACACTTGATAGATTCACTATTTCATGGGAAATCGAAATATAGAATGAAAACGAAATTTTATAGAATATACTTATCCTTTAAAAATCATAAGAAGAGCTTGTTTTGATATTTTTAAACCTATAAACACCTATATAAGAATTAAACTCAAAAACTTTAAGTGTAATAATATATATACGATTAATTGATCAAAATATTGGCGATTATAAAAATTTGATATTTATTAATAAACTAAATAAAATTCATGTTAATTGATAAATCCTAACTAGAAGAGGAAGCTTTTATCTAATTAATAGATAAAGAGGATTAATAATTATTGAAAATTAAATTTCAAAACTTTTTTGTTTTTAAAATCTATCCAGGAATTGGTTAGCCCTTATATAAGTATTTAAAGAAGAATTATAAAGAATGAAATAAGTAAAAACAAATCATCCATAAATGCTCATTTATTAGATAATTCAAATATTGAATATCCTTAATTTTTCTCATCCCAAAACACCAAATATTGTCCATTATTTGTGATAGTTCCATAAATAGAATAGGCATCAAAATTCAATTAACAAACTTTTTTAAACTTCCCATCTTTAATTTCCCTAATGATATAAATATAATTCTTATGTCTTAGCACTATAAAATCCTTCTCCTTATTATACATTATTGGGAAACGGCATTCATCAACATTTTAATTATTTGTAACTAATTGAAATGACTTTTCTTAATTTTCTTAATAGACTCCTTTTATTAATTCAAATACATAAAGTTTATCTATTGTTATGCCACCAGTTATCCAAATAAATTAATTCTCTTTAATAAACTTAACCTTATGTCCCTATTCTTAAACTGATTATTTAACAAAATATCTGAACTCAAACTTATTATTATCCCCTCTTCTTTGCCAAATAATAATTTGATTCTTTTCAAAGGCACATGATACTAAATAATTTTCTAATTAATTTAAACTTAATGAAATAACATAATCATCATGTCTATCCAATGAATACAAAAAGGCTAGTTTATTTTGATTAAAATCAACCTTCCAAGCTTTGATCGATTTGTGAAATAATAGATCCTCATTTGAATTCAATACAATACACATAATATAATCTGTATGTTATTAATATGGTTATGAACTATTCCAATTACTTTAATCCTATTATTGCCAGCATCTTATTGACTTATCTAGGGCACCTGATATAAAGGAATGTTATTTCTTAATATAAACTAAACATTAGATTAAATGAGTATGTCCTTACAACAATTTTACTAATTTCATTTTTCCATTTTGAAACATCCATACATTAATATCATTTTACTTGGTTGATACCATAATTTACCCAGAAGTATCAAAAACTATTGCATAACACTTTACACTTTATTTCACAGATTAATCAACTCACTTTAATTTAGTTTCATGTAGTTGTGACAAATCTGAATAACTAAAGTCCAGAAATTGTTACTTTAAAGCCTTAAAGTTTAATTTATTTTTATCCTGATTGTATTAATCTAAGTTATTGCACAACTTGATAATCCAAAATCTATTGGTATTGTTAATGAGTTTTATATTAAAATCATAATTAGTATTCTAGTTCTTAATAAAATCTTCCAATTCATCATAGAAACTGTATTTGTTGCATTATTAAATTTATACCAATAAATTTTAAGTCCAATCTTGAGCTATTGTAACTAATGAATCAAACAATTTCGTAAATTATGTCTTTGGTTGTGCAGATTTTTAATTTTTCAATTATTTCCTAAGTATTATTTTATAAATTGTTCATCCTTTTCTCAACAACATCCTCAATAATTGAGATAATTTTTTTAAATCCTATAGTCTTAACATCTGTTTCGAGCTTTCCAAACATTGATTGCACAAAAGTCTATTTGCTTTTCTAACTTTTCATCAAGCACAATCAAAGAAATTTGCTTACCATGTTTATTTTGACAAAAAAAGTCTTTGTCATTTTCAATCATCTAGAGTTTTATTTAAAAAATAATAAGCTTTAGAACCTAAATTAAGCTCACCTGCCTAAAAACTGTATTAGGGAATTATGCTACTAATTTTGAAAGAAAAATTATAATGCTGAAAATTTTACCTTAAAACGAGTTATATTAAAATCATATATAAATATTTTTGTCTGTACAAGGTGGATATATAGTTAAAATTAAAAAAGTCCTTCTACTTACAATGATGGTAAATCATATAACAATAATGAGAAAACCAAAGATAAGAACTTTATATAGAAACACCAAGAGATACAAAAGTAATAATGAGAGTATGCAAATGATTTTTCGAGTATAACCCTAAACAAAGTGATAGAATTTCTGAATCAGCAACCATTCAAATGTTTGTTTGGTTGTACTAACATTAAAAATTCGTTTATTTTAATTGGTTGTCAGATCATTCAGGTACTATTCAATAGAATTAATTTAAGAGATCACTTTTTCTACATGTACAGTATGAAAGATTGAAATATATTAAATAATTATGCTCTAAAATATTATAAAGTCATCAAAATATTCTAGAATTGGTATTTAATTTTATGAATAATTGTTTGGAATATTATTTGCTTAATGCTTTACAAATTATTATTATTGAATACTAGTAAGTTAATCTAAGTAATTAATTTTACGCAGGTCTTTAGATTCATTAGTTTCCATTTTTGGTTGATAGTGTGTTTTGATCTAATTCTGCTAATTTAAAATAATACTAAAGGATGGCTTTGAAAAATCAGAATTAATTGAAGGTTTAAAATTCATTATTAATAATTTTTATATTATTCTAAAGTAATAGAATTCAATATAATTTTTAAGTTAAAGTTTTAAACAGAAAACAGAAATGAAAAAGATTATATTATGATGGAAAAACCATAGAGGACTCCTTAAATAGAAACTTTGATTTTTCTAAAATATTGAATAAAACAATATTTATGATAAAGTTAATGGATAAATTAATATACTACGATGAAGGATTAAAGATATGGTATGGAAACTTCGAAGATGGAATTATATTTAATTATTCAATTATGAATAATATTTAATTTATTATTTAGTGGGTGGTGATAATTTAATGAAGAAAGATGGCATTAAGGTGGAGAGATAGGTTGATTTTGAATGAGAGATTCTACGATTAAAATGAAATAAATCATTTAGAATGGAAAATTAGATTAATAATAAATATATAATTATTTATTATTGTAATATTGCTTTAGTCATAAGACTAAGAAGGAAATTGATTTAGAAGAGAGATTTTATTGTTTCAATAAGTATTCATACAGGGAAAATAAAAAGGGGTTGGTTTTTGGAAGTGATAATACAATCAAGAAGATAAAATAAAGATTTAAAAGTCAGTATAAATTCAAATGGAAAATTGGTGGGGCGTAAACTAAGTATGTTGTTGACTCTTAAACTGTAATGAAATAAGTCATAAAGCTTTTAACTCATACTAAACAAAATTCAACATATATATTAGGAAATCTTTCCTACTTATTAGTTTAAATGAATATTCAAAGAGTCTAAGGAGAAACTTCAAGTATTTAGAGTTTCTTAAAAACCAATATGTTTAACTGTTATTAATAAGATTTTATCGATTAACATTAAGAAGTTATTTAAGATAAATTATAATTATGTATTAATAGAGAATGAAATACTTTACTAATTGATAAATTAAGGTAACTATTGATTTATCCTTTGGAAACATAAATCTTTATTTTTTGATTGTTTATTGATGATATTAATATAAAACTCAATATGAATAAAAAATTTGAATATCATATTTTAAATAATTTATTTCAAAGAATCACAATAATTGTTCAAACAATCCTTTTCATTCAAAAAAGGCCTGAACAATTTATCATCAACTTAGTTGAGAGTAAATAGATGTAAAGATTACTTTCCTGTTTAATAGATATCCATGTTCGATAAAATTATCGATTCTCTTGAAATTGCTGTATTTTCAACGAACTAGGACAAGTTTTTAATAATTTTAGGATAAATGGCAATACCCAATTCAAATTTACCATAAATCAAATTCACTTTACTCTCAAGTCACTAACAAAAACTTATCTTCTAGAACAAAGTTTTGAAATATCAAGATAAGAAATACTTAAATGAATTTTACTATTTTGAATAATTGTAATATGATGGATTTATTTTTTTAATTTAGTTATTCCAAGAATGAATTTAAATGGTGCAATGTTATTCTTTGAAAATGGAAAAATATCAAAATACAAGAATTAATTAAATTAATTAAGAATGAGGACTATTATAATCAACATCCATCTTTCTTTAGGGTAATACTTTAGCATCTAATAGTTAAGTAGTCCATCTGTTAATAAGGTTTTAAGATAGGATAATAAAAAGCAAAATTAGATAGCCATAGGGTCTCTCAATCCAGGATGCTTTTCTCATATTTTACGATATTAGCATTTCATTGAAGGAATAACTCTATTTTTAATGGATGCTAAGACAAGATAAGCATACTGAATTATGAAGAGCTGCTATATCTATCTAAATTTGATTTTTATTGGTTCTTAGGATACTACATCATAAGGTAACTCTAAACGATCTCCTTAGGATGTTAAGACAGAAAAATAATATTAACCTCTGATAAATGGTATAATTGTATTTCACAATAATTTAAATAAAGATGAATTAATATGAATTTTTAATTCATAAAATAGCATATATTTAAAAATTATTGAATTATTGAATTATATTTTATAAGAAATGAAGGAAACCTGGCTTTTTGTAAAATCTATTGCGGAAATTATGTAGGAGCGATTGCGACAGGAGCAGGAATTGGTAGAACTAAACTGGTTTGTCATTGTATGGGTTTTCTTCAGCTGGCCCTGTTGCAGGTAGCTTTGCAGCAGCCACATAAGCCAGTATTGGAAATATAGGATCAAGAAGCTTATTTGCTATTTCTTAATCAGCTACAATGGGATGAATAGGAACCATCGCTTTACCTGCTGCTGGAGCAATAGTAGGAGGTGTGTATTTTTCTTATAAAATATTATACTATTTTCTGTTCATCAAATAATGTTGTAAATTTCAAAATATATGTTTTGAGGTTTCAACAATTATAACCATAGTATTTTTTAATAACAATTAGATGATCTTCTCAGTTCTATTTCATTCTCATCATAGACTCATATAATCTTAACATGATAAAACCTAGACTATTTCTACAAGTATAATTAACAATTTAAATTTCAGAGCTAATATTAATATTTCCCTACCATCTTATCTAATAGAACTCTATATTACAATTTCTCATTCATTCAAAGTTCTCTAAAGGATTTATTTTGGTTGACAGCCTTCATGATGTTAAAAAAGAAAGATATTTCCTATGAGAACACAGAAGATTGATTACAAAATACAGCCTTAATCGTTTTTATCTTAAACAAATCTAATATGACGAGGAATTAGATCTAATCACTAATTGTTTGAAAATAGGGTTGAACTAAGAACCCAGTTTTCAATGCCTGACTGCATAGTAATGTAAATAACATTTTTAGCTTAAGAATGTAAACATTGTTCTTATTTATAGCAATCATAAACTTATATATTAGGTTAATAAAATATAGAGAAAGAATTTCTTTAAATATTTAATAATACAATGTAATTTGAAGTTGAACTAAATTTTCAATTTTCTATATATAATTATAAATATAGGATATTAAATTATAATTGATACACATTCTGTATTGTATTTCAAAAAAAAAAAGGCGAGGGCAAAGGCTCTTTTTCTGATACTTTTTTTTCAGCCCATCTTTTAATTAGTTATTGTGATTTAACTTTGATTTGATAAACATATTTTATTAATGGAGCCAATATTCCGAATGATAGAAGCCCAATCTATCCAAAGCCAATAACAATTTGAGATTCTAAGCTAAAATATCGTGCAATAGCTTCGTCATAAAAGATATTAAGTAAAGTAAACATGATCACTGGCAATTCAAACATAAGAATTATAATTAAATCTATCTTCTCATAAACAATTTTACTAAGAATTATTATTGCTAAGTAGAAAGTATTTATTAATGATAATAAAACAGTCTGTGTTAATGAGCTTTTTTGTGACCCTATTAAAACTAAAAGAAATAATAATTTTTTAGTAATATTCAAGCCTTCATAGAGAATTCTCTAACTTTTCTTTAATTTCGTTTTTTATTCTTTAAATGAAAAAGTAGAGGTTATTAAAGCTAAGATACTAATTAATAATGAGTATGCAAGTATATCCTAGAAATAATTTCTGTAATTATTCTCTTTTTCAGAGAAGAGATAGAGCAAAGCCTTAAAAATTAGATCCCAACTATTTGCTTGGATGATGAACACTAACCCTTTGAAAGATATTGTTTAATTAATTCTTAAGCTAAATTAATCAACTTTATGTTTAAAAAAGACCAACAATTATGACAGATAAAATTTATTGTTCTATTCTATGAAAAGAACTATTTTATTATTTGCTTTATAAAAGAAAAACCTGAAATAAATTTTGGAAGCCACAAATAGAGTTGTGATTATTAGAATCTACGTAATTAGTCCTGATAAATTAGTAATTAAGTCTGCATTAAGATCATAATAGAGAAATTTCTCAAATGAAAAGATTAGCACTTCTCCTATTACTATTTGAAATAAATTATGAATATTTAGTTTTTTTAACACTGGAATTATTGTTACAACTTCACAAGACTCAAAAAAAATAACTACCATCTCTGGATAATTCGAATTGATATATTTTAAATTAGACTAATACTGCAATGCGTCCAATATTTCTAAGCATTCAGTGGGATTACCAGATAATAGAATGATAAAGCTAGATATAGCCAGACCAATAAGCATATACATATTGAATGAACTCATTTTTTAAGAGGAAATTTTTTACTATTGAGTTATAACTATAAGATTCCTTAAATGTAGTTTAAAAATTGAATTTTCAACTTAAATTCCATATTAGTCAATTAAGGATGTCTCAAACTAGACCTAAAAGTATAATTCACTAGTTTCTATTTGTAAAAATCTAATCTAAAAGATGTAGTTGATATTTTAACATATGACGAAATTTGGCTCAACTAAAACTTTTTGATAAATTATGTAATGAGAGGGATCAATATCATTAAGATGAGCCTTCAAACTTTATGTGAAATTAGACTAGGAATCTTCTAATTTAACATTGCTTGAAATTTTCAACTATACATAGTAGGAATCATAAATTTGATTGAGTAATATTAAGCTGAAATGAGGAGGTTTAATGTAAAAGCAGGAACTGGTTTAAAAATTAATCCTTGAGCATGTCCAATTTATTTCAATTTCACATACATCAGAGCATCCATCTCGTGAAATTTGATTATTATCATCGCATTCTTCTTGTCCAGATTTATACCCATTTCCACAAATATCAATGCAAAGACCATTCATAATTTAATAACCATTCTCGCATTTTAAACATTTTCCATCAACACAATCAAAACAATTTTATGAACAAGAAAATTCACAATTATAACATCCATCAAAGGGTAATTCATCACCATCATCACATTATTCATTAGATGCAATTATGGTATCTCCACAAATTGATTGGCAATAAAGATCAATAAAATAATAACCATGTTCACAAATATTCTTAGAAGAGAACTAACATTAATGACAACCATCATTCTCAATAATATTCCCATCATCGCATTGCTCAAATCCTTCAATTATTATTCCATCTCCACATACAGGAATACAAACTAAATTCTAAACATGAAAATGGTTTTGACATTGTAGACAATCTAAATTATGATTGCAGAATAGGCAATTTAAATCGCATTCAAATTTACATTCATAACATCCATCATTACTCTCATCATTTTAATCATCACATTATTCCTAAGAATTCAATGCAACTAAACCATCACCACATTCTGCAATACATTTAAAATTAATCAAATTCCACCCTTCAATACATTTAAAACACTGAGTATTATTACATTGTAAGCATTCTACTTGGCAACTATTTTAACACTAATAACACCCATCAAACTATAGTGAATTTACATCATCACATATTTCATATTCTTAAATTATTCCATTTCCACATTAAGGAATACATAAGTTATTCTAGGATAGTTCATAGTTATCATAGCAAATCTAACAAATATTTACAAAAGAAACTTTGCAATTGTCAGGTTTATTAATTTAACATAAATTATATTAATAAGCAAAAATTCCATAATTTTCAAACTTGCATTTATCAAAATCGTATTCAAGATATGGATCTGCATTTATAATGACATTTTGCATATAACTATTACTCAGAAAGTTTTAAATTTGATAATAATGACCTTTTTCTATTTAAGTTGAATATTGATGTATATCTTCTTTGCTTAGATTATAACAAGTAAATTCACATTGATTTTTAATTAATTAATATTATGAATTGCAAATCAAACATTGTCCAAATTAACATAACATGCAATTTAAAGGGCAAGAAAACTGACACTCGTGACACCCATCAAAAGGGTGTTAATTTCCATCATCGCACTATTCAGTTGATACAACTACATTATCTCCACATTTAGGCTTACATTACCCTGAAATTGTGTTCAAAATCCATTGAGATAAACATTAAGTGCATAAACCCTTGACGCAAAGACTACATCCTTCATTGCAATCGTAAATATAAGAGAAGCAACCATCGAATGCGTAGATATTATTATCACTGCACATAATACCTTCATCTAAACCTTGTATTTTTTATGCATCAGTAAACACTTCAAAATCTCTAATACCATAGAGAGGAGTATTGACAGATACAGTGGAAAATGCTGGGATTTCGAAAGTAATAGTTAATGTTGAGGCACTGCTTGGATATTCTCCTAAATCAATTTTATCCAATTTTAAATAAGAACCACAAATGATATTAGCAGAAGTAATAGAAATGAAAGTAAATTGTTGATTAGTTAGCTACAAGTCATTTGCTTTTACCATTATCTAAATTGATGCAGTGACATCTCTGCATAGAAATTTAAATTAAATTCTAAACTTAGTATGTGGATCAGCTAAATCTAAATCAATAGACAGCTTTTCAGTCATTAAAAATGGCCCATAAAAACGAAAACCTAGTAATATTTATTATTTACTTCCACATTATTAGGTAGTATCATATACAAAAGATTATCTTTTTTCCACCCCTCCCCGCTTGCTATAAGAATATTACTAAAATAAACTAGCACTCTGTTCCAATTTAAACATTATCCAGTATTACTACAGTAATCACATCCTTTTGGACATTTATATACTGATAAAATGAAATCCGAAATTCCCCATGAAGCTGAAAGCTATTCCGAAATTATTGTAATTATAGCACTGTTGCCATTATGATCGATAGCCTTATCGATTGAATAAATTTCTCCAAGAGTACCAGTACCACAGATTTAAGTACCTGTTGAAATATTAGGATTGTCTTTATAAGCTTTGAACCCATCAATATACAATATATATTACGAACCACTCCATGGATTCAATCTATATATAGTTATTTTAAGGTACCTCCAAAATTTAAATGAAAACCTTAACTTATAATGAGGGGGTAGGATAAATGTCTTTGTGAGCGCTGTTTGGTAGCTAAAAACAGAAAGTCCTCCAAAAATCATAGAAATTCCACAATCCGTAATGTGATTAAAGGATTACGTCTAATATGTTTACCAATCTAAAATATGACATTTTATGTTACTATCATCTGAATTAATTGGGTTGAAAAAGGATCTGCTTATTTCTGTCTATGCCATGACCTAAAGACAAACTTTGTTTTGATCAAACAGATTTCCTAAAATAGATAAACAAAGGAAGCATTAAAGTGCTTTTTTTGTATTGCATAATAAAAGCATGAACCAAAGCATGTTGTGTTACGGATTTTTGAAAAAAAATTAGAAATTAAAATCTAATTGGTTGCTAAATATCTTAAATTAAACTTTTAGAATGATATCAGAAATATAATACGTTAGAAATTAATTTTTAAATTTAAAAGGTTCTGATTATGAATATATATTTATGTTTTTATAGATGAATATTATGTGGTTTAATGATATAATATTAATAATTATAGTTATTTTCAGCATCTCAAACAACAAAATTACAAAAACATTATATTAGAAATACAAATTTTATTAAACATTCGTTAAAACCTTAATATACTAATTAATTCTAAATTCTAAATTCGTTTCTTTTAAATTAAACTTAATTTGATAATTAGATTATGAATAATGATATTTCTTATGACTTTTTCACTGATAAATATATAATTGAGTTTAAATGCAGTGAAAATAATTCAACGAAATATTATTTTATATAAAATAAGTTTAAGTTAATTATAAAATAATATAATTTGAAATTCTTGTTTGTTTTTAAGGAGTGTTTTATTCTTAATTCTCAATATTTTCATTATGCATTGCCTTTGTAATCTATTAAAATTAAAATTAATTCACATAAACTATATTTAAAGTCTCTCTTTATTTATAATGGAGAATATGCATTTATTGACACTGTTCTCTATCCATAAAGTAGGTGAATTTTTGATTCTTTGTTGAAATATTCCCCACTTTTAAAAGCTATCAGCTTTTGGTGATCAAGCAATAGAGTTGATTACTTCAACAAGCTTGCAGATTTAACAGCTTTAATTCATTTCTTTTTGAATGATCAGGATCTCATCAGATATATAGAATAAACATTTGGTTTTTCATATTTTAAATGAAGTGTTCTATTATATATCTCATGAAGTCTTTCTTATTACATGTTTTATATATTTAGCATTTATTATTATTTTAATAATTTAAACTATATAATTTCCATTAGATTACTACATTTATTAAATATTATCATTTTCAGTATCAATTTGCTCAAAGTTAATTAGGGACAAATTTCTTGAATTTATCATATTTATTATATATTGAATAAAGGCAATGTAGTCCCATTAATAAAAACTAATATTTGATTTAATTAAATGAAATCCATTATTGTTATAATAAAGGGGAGCATGATAAAGCATTAAATAATTATTGTTATGCAATACAACTTGATCCCAAACACCCTATAGCTTACATTAACAGAGGTGAAGTAATTGATCTGATTTAGGGGTACTTTATAAATAAATGGGCAATTTAGAAAATGCATTAAATGATTATGATTAAGCAATACTAATTGATCATTAAAACGTTGAAGCCTACTCAAAAAGAGATGAATTTTTTAATCTAATTTAGGTTTGATATATTTGTAAAAGTATGATATTGAAAAAGCGTTAAACGATTGTAATTAAATATTATAACTTGACTCTTCAAAGAAGGGAGCATATTTTTTAGAGGTAAATCCAATTAATTATTTAGGTTTACTTTATTTTTTATCTAATGTTATAGAGAAGGCATTCTATGATTTAAATAAAGTACGAGAACTTTATCATGAAAATGTTTATGTCATCAGCAACAGAAGTACATTTTTCATCTAATTTAGTTTTAATTTATTAGCAAATGGGAAAGATAGAAAAAGTTTGCTAGGATCTTAATTAGGCGATAAATCTTAATCCTTCCCCATTTTTTATTTCCTACTTTTAAAGGGGTAAATTAATAATCTGATTTAGCCTATTAATATATTCTAATGGGAGATTTCTAAAAGGGATTAGTTGATTTGAATTAAGTAATATAACTCTAGCCAAAATTCTCTCCTTCTTATTTTTAAAGAGGTGAAATATTAAATCTTATATAGGTTTTACTTATTTTCAAATGGATCAAACAGACACGCATTCTAAAATTTTATTGAAACGATATAAGTTTACATTAATCGAGGTGAATTATTTAATTAGATTAAGGTATAATTTATGATTAAATGGGTGATTCAGAAAATGCATTAAATGTTTACAGTTAAGCAATATAATTATTTCTGAATAATTGAAACTCTTCACTGTTACCGGTGTTTAAATAAGTACTTAATCTACCAGCAATTTCAAACTTGTTGAAGATTCAGACCGATTGAATTCTTCTCGCTATATCTTTTTTGGTATATCATAAATTTAATTTAGGTCTATTTTTTAAGCAATGGGAAATGAGAAAAAGAGCATTAAATGAGTTCAATTAAGCAATAAAAACTTGATCATAAACGCTGTTAAGGTTATTATTTTAGAAGTGATAAATTAAATAATATTTAGGTGTAATTTATTAGGAAATGAATGATATAGAAAGAGCATTAGATGACTCAAATTAAGCAATCCAACTTGATCCTCAAAAGAGTTTATTTTACATTAACAGAGGTGAAGTAGTAATTGAATTTAGGTGTAATTCATCAAAAAACGGTGGATAAATCAAAAGCATTAGATGATTATAATTAAGCAATTAATCTTAATTCTGAAGAATCTGAACCATATTTCAAGAGAGGTTAGTTATTTCGATTAATATTAGGGATTTTATATGAAGAAATTGGTTAAAAAGAAAATGCATTAATGGATTATACTTAGGCAATAGAACTTAATTCCTATTCACTGAAGATATACATTACCAGAGGTGATATATTATTCTGATTTCGGTTTACTTTATTAATAAATAAATGGGTGGTTTGGAAAATGCATTAAACCATTTTATTTAAGAAATAACACTTGACTCTAAAAACCTATAAGTTTACATTAATAGAGGTGATATATTAAACTAATTTAGGTATAATTTATGAAAAAATTGGTAATAAAGTAAACGCATTATAAGATTACTGTTAGGCAATAATATTAGATTCTACAATGTCCTAAGTTTTCTATAATAGAGGTAAGATGTTCCCATAAGATTAGGTGGATTATATGAAGAAATGGGTCTGAAAGAAAAAGCATTTAATGATTATTGTTCAGCAATAAAACTAAATTCAAATTATGCTAAAATTTAACTTACTTAAGGTTATCTGATTTCTAAAATGATAAGTATAAATATTAATTGATTATCCAAAATTATAATAACTTTTAATTTACATCATTTTTTATGAAACATATTTGAATGTGGTTTTAGATTGAGAGATTAAGTTTAAGAGAAGAGGTTAGTGTAATAAAACAGGTGTGTAAAAACAGAGAAGATAATGTTTGAGAAATCGTTTTTCTAG